TCTCTGTACCTCACTGGCACGTCTGGGTTCAGGGGCGCGGGGCCTGAATCAGCCTAAGGCTGGCCCTGCTGGCAGCCACCAGGCATGCTGAGGCCTGGTATTTTTTTCCCGCGGCCCGGTATCGGGCCGCGGCCCATAGTTTGGGAAACAAAAATTCCCAGAATTCAGTGTTTCCTTTGGCCATAAAGGTAAGGAGAAAATCAAACAATCACTTTGTTAGGAAATGGATATCGGGAATGTGTTCATGGGTCATGGAAGTATTTCAGCACATCCTTTTATCTCCACAGCTTATGGGGAAAGGGAAGACAACTGGCCACGTGTTGAATTTCCTCATTTAAAAAAAAAAAAAAAGTGGTATATAGGAGCATGGGGTATATGCCTTCTCACAGTCTTTGTAAATAGTAGAATTTGATTTTTTTCAAACAAAATATACGAAACAGCTAATAATTTTGCTCTTAAACTTCCCCAGAATTCTGCCACCTTTATTCCAGATGCTGTGATCAGAAATATCGGTGTAAAGTAAGCTGTAACTTGGTATGATAGCTTAAAAATACTTGTCCAACCCAAGTCCTGATAGGGAATTAAAAAGAACCAAACCCACATGTGAAACTGAGCTTGATTTCTTCATTGATCACGCTTGCACTTCTTTTAAAACTACTTCTTCAAAGACTGATCAATGGACTGGCTTCTCCATTTTTCCGGTGCTCAAGAATGTTTGTGATCATCCTCACATGGTCATTTGACTTCTTAAATTATCCTGGCCAACTAGGTTTTGATTTTCAATCTTATTCAGATTTGTTACTTTAAGTGAAGGCTTTAGGTACTGGATTTATTAGTGTTAATGTTTGTCATTCAAGTAGAAACAAACTATGGGTAGTATGTTCCTCACATAGTTGTAAAGCAGAAAATGTGAAATAGAGCATGGTAAACTAATGATGGGGTTGACCATCCTTTATTCTTCCTCCCAATGGAAATACCTGCACTTTTTTAGGGTCAAGTAAGATCATTGTCAATAACAAAGCGATCACTTTATCTTTGTACCTTCATACTCCTATCTCTAATTTAAGATCATACTTCTGCCATATGTTTATGTAAACTAATTTTCTCATGCACTTTACATCACCAACGCTTTGGTCAGATGGTCGTCTTCGGGGTGTTTTGAAAGGCTATTTGACAGGAATGTCAGATCTAAATACAAGAGGAAAATAAACTAAAACATTTTGGCCAGCAAAGATCAAGTTTAAACCTCTTTAATTGAAACTAAGAACAGGGTTTTGCTGTGCAAACAGAGCTAAAAGAAACATTTGATTATACCAAGAGGCTGCCAGCATTCCAGTTTGGAATGTACAAAAGTCTTTCTTTGCCCAGGTTGCACCTGTTGGTTAGAATTGTGAAATCTTAACTAACTCAGGCTTTAAAGGGATTTTGGGATAATCCTTTAGTCTTCATTTACCCAGTGGCACTGGTTGAGAGAAAGTAGCAGGGAAAACATAATTTCTAGCTCTGCTTAGGTAGTGCATTAGAAGAATTATCAACAGATGTGGAGGTGTAGTGTAAAAATATCCTTAACTTCTGCAGTAAATAAACTGGTTGGGATCTACAGTGAATGTAGGGTGCATATGACTGCCTAGGTAAAACAGAAGGAAGAGGAAGGAGATAAAATTTGTCTTTGCTGCTTCCAATATCTCTAGAAGATTGCACCTGTACTTTCTGCTGTTAATGTGATTGGGTGTGGGGAGGGGGAGCTCCTGTCCCCTCTACATATATGTTTAAAAAAAAAAATTAAGCTGGATGGAGATTCAGTTTTGATGCTGTTTGGTTGGGACATTTGTCCTGTAGCAACTAAGGATGTTAAGTAGCATGTAATGTACTAATCACACAGTCGATACATTTTTGCATCAACTATTTGATTAGTTGATAGGGCAGCTCTGCAGAGTTGATCCCAGGCTCTGTGCGGCGCTGCTGCTTTGAAGTACCCGTCTCTTTCCTCCTCTCTTCTCTCCTCCTCCTCCCCCCGCCCTTGCTGCCTTTATCTAATAGAGACAGCAAGGGGGGGCGGAGGGGGGAGAGACTAGTTGACTATCATGTTGGCTATCTGATAAGCGTTTGCTTTATTGGAGTATGGATTAAGTGGACCCCTTTGGTTCTGGGGTGGGAACAAAAATGAGGAGTTCAGTGTGTATGACAGGGCTGTCAGTGTGTGGTTTAGGGATGAGGGTGTGAGGTCTCGGCAGTAGGTAGGGTGTGGGGTCTGGGTGGGAGGTAGGATGCAGGCTCGGAGTAGCGTGTCTGACCGGTGGGGAGGGAGCAAGAACAAGGGAGGGAACAGAGTCTGGTCAGGAGGAGGGAGAGTGCAGGAGCAAGGGAAGGTGTAGGAGCAAGCTGGGAGTATGAGGTGTTGGCAGGGGGAGAGGAGGGAGTGAGGGGGATTGGTGTGCGGGGGGTGGGGCACGAGGAGGCTTCAAGGCCCGTTGCAGCAGGGAAAGCCTCTGGACAGTGTGCCACTGCTGCCCTTCCCCTAGTGGGGTGGGAAGGAGGAGGGAGTTCAGCCATCTCCTGGCCAGCAATCAACTTCTGGGCTCCCCCGCCCCCATGACTGTCCAGTTCATTTACCTTGTTAGAGATGTTGGCTCCCAGCGTCCCACCACAGCAGGACTCTCAGGGACACGTCTCAGGCTATGAGACAGCCAGAGACTGTGCAACATTGACACTAGGGCTGGTTATGCAGGGATCTCTCACCTGGTGCTGAGAAGCAGCTGACTCTGGGGAGGGGCAGGGATCTCCTGCTCAGGGCTGACATGCAGCTACCTCTGGGGTGGAGCTGTGTAAAAGCAGCTCTGCACAGTTGTTTAGTGGGTTTCAGGAAGAGCTGTTGGTTTGACGTTGACCTCAGTTCTCTGACGTGCTGCTAAAAGGGTGGATGGTCTGTCCCCAGCTGGGGTGGGGGTCTAGTTTGTTAGAGCAAGGGGTGATTTCAGAGTGATGGATTGACCAGGGTATCCTTGTCCTCCCTGAGAGTAGGCCAGGCCTGCTCTTCCCCTGTATCGGTCCTGGGCTTGCGCGGTCTGTCTGCCCCGCTCCCTGGCATGGGTGAAACTGTCGGCAATCCCCAGGGTCTGCTAGTTGCACTGCCTTGTCTGTGGGGAGGAGTCACACTTTACTATGTGCCCCTATGTTCTACGATCTCTGAACCTCACCCTGGTCCCTGCTTCCCATGCCCCTTTCCCCCACCCCTTCCATGGGGAGGGGGCTCCCAGCTCTGTGTGGGTTCCCTGTGCTGCCCATGGTGGGGGCGGGGAGTCTAGAGTGGTGCTTGGGGGCCACCTTATTCCTTCCTTCTTACCTGCCCCCCGCCTGTCTCATCACCCCCCAGCCCTCGACACC